TACGTCGATCGGAAATGTGTTTGCGATATAAAGGTTACGAAAGCAATTGTAATTGTAGCAAGTCCTTAAAATAACTCGTAATGATCTCCAGGCGTCATCTGCATAGTTCCAGTCGCCTAGTCGATTTTGTCATAATCATTTTTTTCAAGAGAAAATTTAAATTGGAAAGTGAATTGAATCAAATTATACAGAACATGCACACTCTACAAAAACAACAGTCTGTCTGCGTGTTTTTTTGCAGAATAAAGCCATGTACTTAAAATACAGAGTACTCATCTTCTGATGATGAGTTTTCGTTAGGATAAGTATCCCCACAATATTTTTCTGAGATAGTTTTATCATTTATGTATGAATGGCACAGTCAACCGTGTTCAAGGTTCAGGTTATTACGACACACTCGACAAGTGCAAAGCGGACAATGAGCGAGTTAAATAGTTATTTCGTTTCTTGTGGAGATGATTGCTTAATCCTCTTTGGAACGTATTACGTAATAATTACTCCAATTATTTATCAAAGAAAGCAATTTCGCGCATGACATTGAAATCGTACTCGGGATCAGTACAGTGCTGAAGAGCAATTCAAGGATATGAGGTCCTAGTACGACTTACGTCATTTCAGCAGCAACGAAACAATAACAACCCAATTTACGTTAATCTAATGTATGAACTAAAATTTTCAATTAAAGTTTGGTTTATCCTCTTAATAAAAAACGAATTAAATAACCATTAATGATCCTATGTACGATCTACGTTATTCTCATTTTATTCTTGCTTCCACGAGTGTGTCAACATAAACTGCATTGTCAACAATCGCATTCCATTGGCGTCGTCCTTTCCCTAGGTCGCGTGTTGAGAAGTATAGTTGTGCATATCTAAACTAAATGTGTGTTTGGTCGGCTTCAATCGATACACATGGATTCTAGAGAATTATTGCACATCCCACTTGCTATCCTCCGTAAGCAGTATTATTTAATCAATTCGTAGCAGGAGCAAAGGCAACAATCCACTAAGTTCAAACGTATTCATCTAATCTGCTAACATGCATCAATTTGTGACAAGGAACAAGTTCTTCATCTGTTCTGACTTTACATAACGTGCTAACGTGTTGATCGAATCTAATAATAAACGAAGAGCTTAAATGCACCAGTAATTGCACTTGATGTTTGTGTAGTTTGCTAATTTTTGCCTCAAGGTTCAATCCCCACTTTGAAAGTTTCTCATCCGAGAACCATGAACCGAGATATCGGCCCTTTAACAGCCATATGCGCTGCAAGTTGTAGGGTTTCTTATGCACGTTTTGCAACTCCTGCTTGTTGGGTTTGCATTAGTTTCGTACTACATGTTATTTACGTAAAATAAAGCAGAGGAGACCCATTTTAGTTTTTCCAAGCGTAGCACACAAACTGCTTCTAGATTGCATACTCTGAGCTTTAGTTGTTGCAACGACAAAGAGAACCAGCCTCCTTACAAATATGAATGAAAATAAATATTGTATAACACTCTTCTTCTCAATCACTGCATGTTCATCTTCTTAACATTACACATGCATATTTTAATACATAATACTCATTTTATAACAATTACGAAATACACATTTCTCGTTTACAATCTCTTATTGGTGCACAGAAAAATTTAGTTGGTATCATACCATATGTACAATTTAATATTTAACTAAAACGCTCGAATGAAGTTATACCATAGTTGAGGTTTGAGCAGTGGAGTAATGCTAACGTTTTACCAAACTGTAAGCGATACATTTAATTGGAAATATGAGTCCCAGTTGTTATCATGTCCGACTGTCTCTCTCAACATTGATATGCACGATGTTTTCAAAGTCTGACTAAACCTGTACAACAAAATTGTTATTGAAAAAAGTACCTGTTCCTGCACCACAAAACCCATATTTGGGATCGGGGTTTCTTATCCCTGATTTGGCTTTGCAATCGTTACATTTTATGCAAATTTTAAAACAGTGACGAATTGGATATGATGAATCACTATCTTATACATACATAACGTGCTGATACTATTTAACCCGAGCCAACAGGTTCATTAAATCGTCATGTCCATCCGTCCGCCCAACGTTAGCGGAACTGCACCGATTTAGACCAACTTGGTCTAAAAATGCATATCTCGACAAGGGCTTTGACGACTCAAAAATGAGAATGACCTGTCTACTCGGTTACTCGTCTGTACGTAGATTGACTGCTATTTACGTGTTTACAACTTTTTACCATTATAAACTCTGAGATTAATCAGGAATTGAATAACGCCGTGTTCCTCAGAACCCAACAGTTTCGCAAGTGCAATCCAATGCATTGTATTACGTATAGCTTGTTCAGGGATGGATGCATGTGGATTGCACACAGCCAACGCAGTGCAACGCTGCCGGGATCGTGGCGACTAGTTTCTTGTTTCTTGCCAAGTCTGTGGAGTGCAGTTAAAGTTACCAAAAGCATATAAAGTATGCGTATTCTGCAACGACCCAACTACATTTACTACACATTCGTTCGTAAGTAACATGGTTTGACTCAGGAATGGCTTGAAAATCTGAGTTGGCGAGTTACCTAGTGACTTTTTTGTTAGTTGGTTTCGACTCGTCCTCTTGGACGCATATTCAGTTAAGCGATTGCTTCATTTTACGGAAGTGTAATAAGCGTCGATTTTGGATCTTACGTTACATAGTTTCCAGTTGAGTGGATTGCTGCCTGTGTTTTACAGTGCGGTCAATGTTTGTGAGGTGTGTGTGCAATACATATTATTGGCTTGGAAAAGTGATACAGTGACACATTTATGTACTTTGCGTACAGTAACGAGTGTATAAAATTCAAGGAGATTGATCTGCATAAGTTTCCCTTGATTCATTCCTGAGATTTTGAGCTTTATTGAACGAAATTTATACAAATCAAGAAGAAAAGTGCTCTGGTTAGAAGAAGGAATAAGATTGTGATTAGGATTGGATCGACTTGGCTCTAATTCTAGCATGACAGGTGAGTTCCTTGTCTAACGAGTGGGAAATTTGGGGATAAGTTCATGAAAATTTTCAAATGTTGGATCGAAATCTTGTCGGTTAGATCGTTCGCTCCCTCGCATTGATTCACCCAGAACAAACATTTCTTCATATAGTGAACTTTCTTTCCGTGTAAAATTGCGGTATTATTTTTGGACTGCATATGCACCTACATATCTTTCTCTACAGTAGAGGCCGATTTATCACTATGCTTCAAAGTAAGCACATACATAGTGTAAATCTTGTAAAGTTGAAGCATCATTCCCGAAAATTGTGTTTCCTAACAAATATACTTAATAAATACAAGTTTGAATTATTATCAAGTCTGATTATAACATTACACATTATGGGAAACGAAAATAAAGTGAATCAGGTAACATAATTGGGTAATATGTTAATATTCTGAGTAATATTGATAAGAATTGGAACCGAATACTTAGTAGCCTAATAATATTTTTATGTTTCCTTCTTCATCTAGTTCTCATTGTGGTAATAATTATTCCAGACCATTACCATGTTAGTAAATTTCGGCGCACTTCATTTTACCTGTGACTTATGTACATATATACTTTTCGCATTCAAGACTTGAGTAAACACAATAATCACAAGTGTACACATACACATACCAGTTCTATCACTTTTCTGCGTTGTTTATCTCTCCAGTTCCCACACATCTATAGTTAAACAACATAAAATGTAAGGTGTGAGGGATACGCTATTTAAATGGACACGCCGACCAAATACATGCACATACGATTCTGTCGTGTTTAAACTTAACTTTCAAATGACCCGAGTTTTTCCCACATTAGGGTCCATTCTTTCTAACAAGCCCGTAAGTCTTTGTCAATACTTCATAAATCGAGTAAATATTGGTAGTCAATTTGTGAGTAGACACATTTCATGAGTGTTCAATCCGGCTATTGAATCTAAAAATGAAGGCTTATGTCTGTCCTCAAGTACATTAAGAATCCATATTGCAGAGAATCATCCTCTTAAAAATATTTGTCTTGTTGAGGGAAATCACTTACGCAAAAAAAGTCCTTCACGCTTACACGACGTTCGGGTGAGATGTATTTAAAATAATCGGTCTAATAGTTTGTCTTGTATTTTCACGACGGTTGTGTAGAACAATTGAAAACGTCAAACGCTAACCCCAATGAAATTTTGGAAATATGTATGCATGCATGTTGTTCAATGGTGAAATCTATCACAAGACACATTAGCTAATTAAATAGACCGGAGTGGCAATTGTCATTTGAAATTGTAGGCAAATAAAACGCCAATTAAAATTATAATCAAAATCAGTGGAATAGAATTACTCTCTGATTTGCATTTGTATTTTCAATAAAAATATTTTGGTTTTAATAATCCCATTAAGTATTTTATTGCCATGTTTGTATGCATTGGCAAATATGTCATATAAATAAATACCTATTCATTTTCCTACAGAAAGCCTTGAAAAGGTAATAATTTTATCGCCAAATTTGTTGATTGCAAAAATCAAATGTTCCTGTCGATCCTGTAAGAATTGTTTATTGGCATATCGATCTTGAACTCCTGATGTTAAAGTACATGATTAACTCAATATCAACTTTACCGTATTGTCAACGATTTAATATTGTATTTTTATCTTTGCACTTGTTCCAGCCCTTTTGAGAATTCTTACGCTTGCCAGTATTTGGCAATACTATTTTCCGTGCCTATCCAACAATTGTAAATAATAATGGAATCATATTATAATTGAACGCAGTAGTTGTACAATGGCTCCCAGATATTGCAATCAAATCAGCAGCACTGATAGCATTTCAAATGTGACTGATTAATTAAGCCCTTCTGGCTGCACTCATGTCCAAATAAAATCAACACCCAGTGAAGTTGATAAAATTCTCTTCTGGATCATTATCACTAAAAAGACTTAAAAAGAGGCTGGATATTTTATTCCAGAATCCTTCAGCCATCATGTACTATTTATTCCCGTGCAAAATAACATGAACAAGATTACAGCACCAGCACAAACAGTGTTGGATGAATCATTCTCTTCTTTGGTTAGCAGCCTCTTTAATATTAAAAATAAAACTTCCAAACAGAGGTGAAGTGATATAAAGTATAAAAAGTTTAAAACTACGACGGGAGCAACTCAAAATCTGCTTTGTGGTTTCATCTTCAAGAAGAAAAGGGTATAATCCAGTTTGCCCATAAAATGCAATCTTCATCTTTGTGGTTTGCTGATCATGAATGAAGGATATTATCACCAAGTCCAGCACTACATGCACATTATTATTATTACTCTCAGATTGAGCAAGAAACGTATTTAAATCTCCACATCAAATTTTTATTTCAAAGTCGGGAAAGTGCAATTTGGAGTGTACATAATATTTTAAAGTTCGTTTTCAAACATTTTACACGGTCCTTGTTCGTGTGACGAGTGAATTAGAGTAACTCCATAAATCATTCCACACAGTTTTAAAACATTTTGTATTCTATGTAGACTATTTTTCGTTTGTTTGACTGGGATGGAACTTTTTTAACATTGCACAAAAAAGTGGATCAGATAATATTTCAAGAATGAACTGAAGAAATTTGAATCCCCTCCCACGGCCACCGACAGAGTACAACCTACATAATTCAGAATACTAGCTTCGCAGAGAATAGAGGAGTCACTGGACCGTTTCCCGTAAAATTGTTCAATTTCCTCACATTTCTGTGAAGATAAAAAGTTCACTGTGAAGTGTGCATTTGAGGAATAGACACCCAACTGAACTCGCAAAGTTATACATGTATTCCAAAAATTCCTTAATGTAAACGCAGCTTAGTGCACTCATCTTCTCTGCTGGAGACAATTACAGTTAAGTTTTGTTGACAAGTCAGTCGATCTTTATTTTTAAGGCAGGCACAGTCAACGACATCCACCCACCCACCTAAAGTTTAAAAGTCGTGTGCGTGATCTTAATTTAATTTTATGGATTTCATGCATAAAACTGTGCTTCACATAAAAACAATGAATTTTAGTGTTTGTATATGTATGCATGCATGTTTTTAAGTGTTTATAAGAATTCATTTATTTGCTCAAATCAGCGCAAGACAAAAAATGAATATATGCACGAAACTTGTCGTTTTTATTCCAAAATTGTGTTCAAACAATGCTTACGTTTTTAGAGACCGTATAATCGAAGGCATGTGAATATTTTGACAGGACAGCTTTTTTATGCACCTCGATGTGTTTTTATCGTGCAGGGATTTCGCAAGTCGCAACAGTTGCAGAGCAATTTCATTTATTAGAAACATTTATTTATTTTATTCGTATTAATGCAGTTCAAGTGCTAAAAATGATTAAAACCAGTAAGGGTTACATATGCACAAATGAAGAAAACTTTATTTTAAAAAATGTTAGTCTTAAGCTGCCTCAAGAAAAACTTGTCATTTATAGTCAGACAGAGTTCGGCTCGACAACACGTTAGAAATTGTCCAATCGAAACTTGAGGTATCACTTGTTGTAAGTCAAGATGGTTGGGTGCCCGTGCATGTTACAAAATTGTATTTTTTACCGACTTGAATTTGTTCCTTATTGTACATCGTATACTCGTGCATGTATGTAAATATTAGGTATACGGCGGAGTTGGGAATGTGAAGCGTGAATGAATGGCATTGTTACAAGGACCATTAATTTAGCACTGATCACTGAGTGTAATAATAATAATGAACTTCTTCCTTTCTCAGCGGCTGGATTTCATTTCATGGCATTGTCATCTGAAAGGACATAAAAAACGAGATGGAGACGGGTTGTTAAAAAAGAAAATTAGCGAGGCAATTTTAATTTGTTTGCTTTCTGCTACCCAGAATTCCGAGATATAAGCTGGGTTCATGTATATTTTATTGTATTGGATATTCAACTGACAAAAAAACTATTACATGTATTACAAACAGCTAGTGAAAAGTGAATCTGTTTGTGCACAGTCAAAACCCGAAACGAATCGTACTGTTGACTGTAGTTTCAGATATGCAGAAATATGTGTTGAAGGACTCCTTATTAATCGAGGTTGTTCATAATTAAATATTTAACCCGTTCAATGAATTAATTTCTATTACTAACATTGTGGATAAAATATATGATATGATATCACCGAGCACCAATAGTCACGGCATAAATCGTACGTCACAAGACGAGCTCCTCAGAGCAATATAGATAATTTCTCCTTGAGAATATGTTGTGATGGGACAATGGCAAAATAATATTTCTAGAACCATTCTTCGTTATGCATTTACCGAAAAACAACAGACGTCACCCGTGAACCGTAATCCGCAGGCCGTATTCAGAGTATCGATCACCCATTAGCAAGATGTAGCTTAAACGCTCGTGATCACGCATAAATTGATCTAGATCGCAAGTATAAATGAAGGAATTGCTAATCGAAATAACTATACGGCTCAATCCTGATTGTAAATTATTTCTAAAAAACAAGATCGCTCACTCTCAATCTTGGAGGTTATAGATTAATTTTATGTTATGGACACCTTTCTGAATGAAATGACTGGTGGGATACATACATGACGAATATTAGCAGTGGATGGATACATACATATATTCCGACCGCGTGCTTGAGACTCTGTACAAATCACATCCTTGATTTCCCTATTTTGTATTTTAATGCTAGTCAACAATTGGTGTTTGTGGGAAGCTCTTGTCCTGTCATCCACGTTGTTCCATCCCAACCCTTCAATTTCGTTATCGTTTTATGAAGTAATAGGCAGCACCAGTACGCTGTTCATACATTCTTTGAAGACATGAGGCATTTGCAGTCATCATCGTCTATGCATCACTGTCATGAAGGTAGGAGCCATCTCTATATTCCCTGTTGTTTATTCATCTCAGCCTACACATCGTTCCAAAGCCAAAATTAGTCAACAGCAGTTTAAACGTCCACCTGTGTGGGCATTTAAAGAGAAGGGAAAAGGATTGTGATTTTGCAGCGGTGGTGGGTCACCCATTACAACGTAATGCGAATACAATATTGCAATTTCAATCTCGTCTTGTGGTATTAATGGGAGTTATTATGCGGTGGTTGTTGTTGCTTCAGTTTGAGGTGGCAAATTCTTAAGTAAAGGCAGGCAAAATGAGAAACGTGGCCTTGAGATTTACATATTTGTAAAGTACACTTCCCACGAACTTTTCTTACTTCCATTTACAATTCTTCTCTCTCTCTCTCTCTTTCCACCACACGAATATGCAAAGTGCAGTTGAAGCATTTTATATAATGTGCATATCAATAACTAAAACAATTTTGTGATGCCAAGATTATTACTTCTTTCTTGCGAAATATATGTAGGCTTTTCAAGCAGAAACAAGTAGTTTGCAAATTGAATGCATACTTACATTGTATTTCCAGCCAGGTATTTGTAGTTTATGAATTTGGACACTTTGCTAATAAGAATACGGTTTTCACTTCTTGTATGACGATGCAGAATTGAGAGGGACGAGATCGATCATAATTGTGCACCTGCTCAATTCCTCGTTTATTGTCCAAAGCGATTAGGGCGAAGAATAAGTACAATAAATTTTGATTGAGCACGGTAGAAATGGAACTACGAGCAGGGGCTGCGGAACAAGACGCCACCGGCATTTATATTGCAGCATAGACGCCATTAACACGAATGGAGAACTAATGTCCCCAAGATGCCGTCATGTTCCGAAGCTCCTGACTAGAATTGAGCAACATGAACTCAAAAACTGCAAAACTCATTTTGGTTTGAAATCTAGAATTTGGTTAACCAAAACCAACCATATCCAATTATTTTTCCTTGTTATAACTTCTTTGCACAAATAACTACGAGAACTCATCTTCCGGACTTTTTTATCTTTTTCACTGATGACTGAACTTCAACTTGCAAAACTTTCCTCAATTCTAAATTCATAATGATGTAGCTTTCCATCCATTCTCACTCGATTCTATTCCATCTTATATTACGCCGAGCCAAGCGAATCATCTCTTCTTATTCGCCTTAACCAAATAGTAGAAAGTAATACTTAGCTGACAACATTGCCATTGATGACAGAACTTGCTAACAAGTGAAATAAAACCAAAGTCCTTGGAATTATTTATGTTTCGTGGTTTCTGAACGCTACTTTTGCAATTTAAAGGTTATTGAGATTCCAAAGCAATACTGCAGAAAGACGAGAGACAGCACTATACAGTGTTCATTCACACACGGAACGTCTGCAGGCAGGAAAAGGGTGACATGACAGACATAATCATTCCATTAGCATGCATCTTTTCAAAGCCTGAAAATGTTAAAAGCGAACCAAGAATCCTTGCAATCCTTGAAAGTAAATGTACTTTTACATTGATTCAGTTAATTTCTTTTTCACATTCAAATGTACCAAGAGCAATTTATTTTAATGTTTTTGCTCTTAATTTTATGCTTTGCAGTAGTTTGGCGATTCTGAAAATCTACACTTTTCACTGGACATAGTAAAACATATTAATTCAAACCATGGATTCCACATGGCTGGAGAGTCGAACCCCACCCGTAACAAGTGGGAGCTCAATGATGGACATGTCTACAAACCCATACTCGTCATCTGCAAGAGGAAGGACTGATTACATTCCAGCGTGGAAAGTTCCAATTTCGAAATCGTTTTCCTCCGTCATTTCCACCTCGGAAGAAAGGCCGTCGAGCGAAAGTGGGCTCGGAAGTGGTGGTGAACGAGATCACAGCACCTCCAGCTCGTCCGACCCTGAGTCAGTGACACCAGCAAATGTCCTGAATAGCAAGGGGGTGGGTGACACGGAGGAGGCTTCACTCATTCAAATCCTTCTTCCATGCATCATTTGCAACCGCACATTTTCCCCTGATGCTCTGGAACGGCATTCCAAAGTGTGTACAAAAGTTAATGTGAAAACGCCATACAAACCAGACCGAGGAAAGTTTGACTCGACTGAGCAGAGAAAAAAGGGGACAAAAGTAGAGGTAATAGAAAATCAAACAACAAAGAGCTAACAGACGCTAACTTTATTATGACACGACTCATACTTACATAAGTGTACACATACTTACTTTCTTTTGTTTTATTCCATGTCCCACAGTATTTTATACCACCACCGGATACTACTGGTGACACTCGGTTATCAGCCTCTTCCTCAGGGTTTTCGAGAGGATCCAAGAATAGAAGCAGTCTCCGTGGCACAAGCTGCACAACCCGAAGCACATTAAGTTCGGAAGCGCTTCTTAGTCTACACCAACAGCCTTCGTCACTTGGTCAGAATCCAAGCAGTCGTCTTGCAGGAGCAACCTCACCATTGAGAAGACAACGAAGCATGAGCCAAACAAGAGGAGAACGAGGACATAGCAAACCTCCATCAGAGTATTTGTTCAATGACGACAATCACTCCGAATTCGGGTCCAACTCAGAAGAGTCTCATGGTACCATGGATCCATCTCTCCCTTCATATGCCAAGCCACTCGTTCCCACAGACGAGTGTCCTTTCTGCAACCGGTGCTTTGGTTTCAAAGCCTTTGACAGACATGTCGAATATTGCAAAGAAAAGTACGTCCAACGTCAATATGAGGTGCAACCAACACCAAAGGAAAAAATCGAAGCGATGGAAAGACAGGAAATTCGTACGAAATACCGACCTATCAAAGGCTCAAGTTCGTGTACCAGCTTGAGATCTGTGTCACCAGGCAAAGACTTTGCCAGCATGGCTTACAAACTATTTGGCCTTCGAAGAACGGACGGAGCCAGCAATTTGTACAACAATCAATTAACCAATTTCAAAAAGTCAAAAGGTAAAGAATGTAAGGGGTATATTGAGTCATTGGGATTACACCGGGAATCGGTGAACATGAAGAACATTGGTATTACATTCAGTAGCCTAGTCAATTCCATGGAATTATATGATGTATACTATCCAACTCACTCTAATTCAATCTAATCAATTTTAGTTAATTAAAAATGAGTCAGAGTAGTAGAACGCTATCTACTATTACAAATACTAGTCATAAAAGACCAGGACCAGCGTCCAAAACTCTTCCTAAAGTGATAAAAATAGACGACGAAAGTGAAGACAAAAAATTAGCTTTACAGATTGTAAAGGAAGACGAGAATTTAAGGACAGTAAATAACCATTATCGGGTTATGTTATGGCTTAACGCTACAGATAAAGACAAGTTGTCCCTTCGTGTATCAACTTTAAGTGGAAGAAAACATATCGTTTGCATAACATATAAACAACTGTATTCCAATGTGTATACATACCAATATGACAATGACTCCAAGTTTAGATTCATATTATTATCTGATCTAATCATTAGTGAAAATTCAAAATCAGTGAGTTCGGCATGTGATGCTGCAGAAGCATATTCATATTTGTTATCAAGAGTGATAAAATTCCAACATCTAAAGTTTCCTTTGCTTCGTTTACCTCTGTCAGGAAAAAACACTGATGCTTCAGCTCACGCAAAGCATTGGAAAAATGAGGAGAAATTAGTTGAATTGTTAATTAAATTTAAAAACACTGATTTATTGGATATAAAACTAAGTAGTGATCTACATCCGATGTTTCAAAATTTGGGTTGCAAACAAATTAAGTTTTATAACATAAAGTTTACCTACGAATCTCTTCAAAAACTAAATTCAGATGAGTCAATCATCAATTCTCCAGCCCAATCGAACAGAGGCTTGTTATCAGGAATAGGAAAGTTCAATTGTAGAATTTGTGGTGAAACTATCAAAACATCCGCCGTGACTCATCATTTCAACAACCACCATAAACTAGTTCCTAAATTGAAGTGTGTAAAGTGTGATAAGGCAACACATATTGTAGAAGAATTAGAGAATCATATGAACATGCACCAAGAGGGTGTGGAATGTCCTATTTGTCACAGGCCTTTCCAAACCAAAGATAGTCTTATTCAACATAACAAATCCCATGTTCAAAAATGAACTCATTAAAGTTAATTAGTAAGTTTACATTGATATCTTTGGTCAATATTCCAATTAATCTGTTATCTGTTTTCAGAAAGCGTTGGTGTCCTTCACTCGGACAGTAACGAGTCTTTAACAAATTCCTGTTATGGAGATTTCACGAGAGGAATGCGGAGACCTTCTCCATCACCCTCAAAAAGAGGAGGCAATGCCATGAGTGTCACGAACAAGATTAATAATTTGCTCAGTAAAACATTCCACTATCAGCAAAACAGCAGTAATAATAACTACCTCGCTGCCAACAACAACTCTTCCGGTCCAGTCCATCCAATGAAGATCAATACGAGCAGCAATATTCCAAAGTTGGCAAAGTCGAGTGACAACTTGGCAATGATGATGAACAACACAGGAATTCCATACGGACATGTTTCTTCTTCCGGTTACGGGCAACCACAACAGCAAGTTCCACAACAGGCCAGTAATAGCTTTAACCGAAACTCAAGAAGTCGATCCAGTTTACACAAAAACTTCTTCCGGTCTAAGCGGGTAGAGCCGGAAGGAACTGAGAATACGGGATCGAATATGATGATGACAAATTCTGGCGGTGGTGGTGGTGAGGTTGGTGGTGGCAAGTCATCTTCATCCGGCTGTTCCTCTCCCTTAATTATAACTCCCATGACTTTTTACACCAAAGCAAACAAGACCAATCACCACCAAGAGTTGTTCCGACCAAAAGGGACAACTTTGTTGACTCAAGACCCAAGCTATGATCCCTATGAAATGGCAGAGAAGCAATTAGAAGAGCTTTTAAAATCTCAACCCATCAATAAAAATGTCAATAAAAAGACAGCGAGGAAATTGGGGTTGGAGAAAGCATTCGAAAGCGTTGGCGTGGTTCACTCGGACAGTTTTCACACCAACATGCCGAGTCGACATGATATGCTGGGTGGTGGTGGAGACCCCAATGTTGCTGAGAGGAAAGGTAGGTTATATAGCTTCAGTTTTATGGAGTACTTATGTAAGTACATAAGTCATATGGCCACAGTTTGTAATCCTCAATACAGTACATGCCTTTTGTATGTACACGCGTAGTCGTAAATAGGGAATTTAGAAATAATGTTGTCATTTTCTGTGGACTAGACAATGATCAATTTGTTTTCGACCTTCCGAGTGGGAAAATGGATGACAGCTACTGGGATGAGATTCTTAAAAAAAGCAGAAACGCTTCCTCCAGCGAAGTTGGTGGAAGGGATAGACAGCCCGAAAATAGTCAGATGTCTATGTCAACCTCTTCTGAGACCAAGTCACAACAATCTGACAACAGCAGTTTTGGAGACGTTAACAAATCTAGAGCTTTATCGCAAATCTCCAGCGCTGATTCTGGCTTCAGTCGGTAAGCAAAAGAATTGCATTATCTCAGTCGTTTTGATTCACATAATTTCTCAATTCCAATTGCCCTCAACCTACTCCAACCATAAACCTTCTCACGAGAACATGAAACGAGCATGATTTGTCACGTTGACGCAGACCAACTCGCTCCAAGAAGTGAACCATTTTGCAATAAATTTTCTTTGCCATGAGGCAATGTCATTCCTACTTCATTTCAACATTTCGGCCACAAAAAAAGAACTTATTTACTTCATTTCCGTTATCCGGATTTCACATTTTGTGTTCGGATGAAAAGGATTTATGGACCCAGCAGCATATGCCTGCCCTCATCACAATCATAGTAAATTCTTGCAAACGTGCCACTTGTGATTTAAACAACACGGACTTTTCACTTCTTAACCGTCCTTTACTTTTTACGATCCTACCCTTTACTTAATGCAGAGTCATGCGGATTTTCCAGAAATCTGTCAGAAATTGAATATTTAATATGGAATTCCTCGTCTCGTCAAAAGCGTATTATATGCAACTTTGCAACGAGATATATAAATACATACATTGCTGTAGTAAGGATGCAAAACTCTTGATATTTCTGGCTTTTACTCTTTGTATCAGTATATCTACATATGCATACATAGCTTCCTTTCATCTTCCTATCTTTGTATTATTTCGCTGTGCAGCGATTTTGTTCTTATAAAAAATGTCTTATCGTCAGTCCCAATAAGTTTCAAGACTCGTAGAAGCTAATAACCGTACTTTTTATTGCATTTTTTATGTTTTCCTTTCCTGTCTGTAACAGAAAAGATGGAATTCCACTGTAGTAATTGAGGTAACCAAAATGTAATTTGGAAACCGAGAAAATGCTTTCCTAGATTAGTGACAGTTTACAAAAGTAGAAAGAATTTTACAACGTTGTTGTTGACTTTGGTTCTTTTACAAGAATATTGTAAAAAAACTTCCTCCATCCAACTTTGGGAAGGTTCCTAACCATGCCGTAATGTTGTCTTGTATGGCTCTAACTGGAATGGAATTTTGCTTTCCTTCTACATACAGTCAGAAACATGCAAGTTCCATTCCTAACGAAATACTTATCGGTATCTAATTTTATAGAAACTTTTCATGATGAATTTATATATACGAGGAAATTCATAGTGTTCATACGTACATACAGAGATTCACCTGCGTAGTTCATGATAGCTTGGTCTATTTTATTATACGTAACGTAGTTTTAAAAATGTGTGTTCTGTCAAGTAATGTTGCATGTTGTTAAAACATTTCGCCTATTTACTTCAAATAATACTCCTCAAGCATACTTGAACGTTATAAGTGGTTCACTACTTAATTCCTCCATTTAGGAAAATATTTAATAGCAATAGGCAGAACGCAAAGTATTATTTCTGCCACTTCCTTCCTTCCACAAGGGAAAATGCTTGCACTTGTTTCTCAAGAGAACAATAAGTTTCTTTCAACTTTTGGAATGAATACTTACACTTAGAAAAACAAACGAGCACGTGTGGACACAAATGGTGTTGTTTTGAGTTGAACCTTTTAAAAACGAACGCTTATTTTAATCTGTTTCTTTGCAAGAAGTGCTTTGTTTAGCTGAACTAAATGTACATTATGCTCTTCATTCAGTTCAAGTATATTTACTCTTGGAACAATACAACTGGGCTCTTGCTGCTTATATAGATATTTTATTTTATGATCTATTTTGTGAACTAACTAGATAAATACACAAACTATTGTCAAAACCAATGAATTTTACAAAAGGTAGAAATTTAGAGCTTGAAACCCTTTGTACACTTCCCCTTCTCCATTCACCTAAGTACACAAAAGTGAATAAAATATTGTATTGCCAATCTAAAAATGTGTATTTTGCATGTACATATAGATCTGGAGGGGTGACAGATCCGGAGTTTGAGGCCCTGGAGTCCATGGTTGGAGAAGAGTCAGCCATGAGAAGAGGTGGTCACAGCCATGAAAGTGGTCGAAACCCCCTCTCGTCCACCCACTCTCTCCTCCTCTCAAACAGAACGCCCTTCGTTCGAAGGACTACGTTTACCCAAAATCAGGGCAAAGAGCCGGAGAGTCCGATGCAGATTTCACCCGCGCCCCTGACACCCTCCGTCCCCACGCGAAACGAATCCTCCTCCTCGGACGTCTTCTCGCCCGGGCCGGGAAGTGGAGCCAGGTTTTGCCACGAGTGTGGAAATTCCTACCCGTCCAGCATTGCGAAATTTTGCCCGGAATGTGGAGAAAGAAGAGTTTTCAAGTTTTGAGTATCGCGACACAAAGATCCTGATAACACCAAATTAATATAAAATTTATTACTATAAACGACTAAAGATAATTTTCGTTGTCCACATATTTTCAAATAACATGTTACCTCTGACGTTCAAGAAATTTTGTGTATTTCAAAAAAATAATTGACTTGTAATTTCATGATTAATAGTACATAAATATTGTTAGGTATAATAAACGTGGATTTCGTTGATAGTACATACATAAATTGGGTGCAGCTAGTTTAATAGTAATCTGATGATTTTACCGAATTCTGGTCCATTAACAGTGATGTCCTTTCTACTTTCTTTAAATTTGCCTTTTTCAATAGGTAATGTACATACATGTTTACGTATGTATATCAATTCCTGTGTATAAATAAGTAATTTCAACTGATTGTCAATTAATAATACATATTCCAATGATAACTTTTAAACTATAAAACTGGCTAACATAAGAATCTTATGATAAGATGCTAATATTGTACACGTAATAATTGTATCTCGAGAAATATTTAGTTTTCCGTTGATTTTCCCAGAGCTTGTAAACAACACTATTTAGAGTTGTCACAAAGGAGAATATTTTAGATTATGGTTTGCTAAAATGTCTGAGACCGAAATTGAGATTGTTTGCGTCATCAACTGACTAAATGTTAGTTTGAAGACGATACAGATAAAATTACTGTCAGAATGACAAGACATGTTCAACATGTTTCGTGCTGTAGTAGAATATAATGTAGAATAAAATGTGAAATGCATGTAATATTCTAGTATTTCTAATCAATAAATAACCATCATCGACGTAAATTGGATTCAGATAATTTTATTCGTGGCACCCGACGTTGCTGATCTTAATCCATTCCTAATCCAAGGATAAAACAAGCGAAATAGTGTCATGACTTTGACATGTTACATATGCATTTTTAGTATTCTATATACTTTCAGGAAATTACAAAAATAATGAAAGGATGCATGAAGTGCAGGAGTGAAAGTGGAAAAATATTTAACACAAATAACATGATAATGAAATTGCAGGACCCAAATCACAACAGGTTATTGAAAATTAATCTTTGGTTTATTGAGCTATTCTGCGTTGGCAATTAATACCTTCATACATATAATAACAAGAGGGGAGATTTTCGAACATTGTTGTAAGTTAAAAATAATAATTTGTTTGTTTTTCGTCTCAAAACAAAACCACACTAATTTTTTCGGGATAGGAATTGTATTTTTATTTCCTAGAACAAGAAAAGACTACGAGCACCAAACTTTTTTAGGATTCCATACTTCCATAAGAATGAATGAGGGTACATCCCAGATTATGCAGAAAAAAATGCCAGGCTGTTGTTAGGATCTGGCTTGCCCTTTGTACAACGTCGTGCATTTTCGAAATCAAAGTGAATCAATTATAATATTATTATTAGAACTAGCTAACATACTTGTATTATTTCTAACAACTTTAAAATCTCTGAGCTGAACGTTGCACAAGGTACATTGCTGATGTGGCTAACATGTAATATTAATTGTTGTTGTTTTTTAAATTATGTAATTGCAGTTTAGCTACATTATGTTATTTCTGGATAGTTAAAGCTTGTGGGTATGCACACACTGGGTATTTTTGTTGTGTATGATATACTTCATTTTACCGGTTTCGGTTTATTTTCAAAGGTCAATAATAACGAATGTTTTTTTGTAGAAGAGAAGAAATAGTGTGAACTATTTTCTTTTCATTTGGCAGTAATAAACTTCCCTGTTTTTGAAGAAGTAGACGAAGGTAAGAAGAATCGCTGAGGTAGACATCATTAATTGTCATTATTGAACAACAAAAAGAGGTTTAATTATAACTATTTAAAGTAGTATTTAAAAATTGAGATTGAAAAAATTGACTGCGCTGCCCGATATAAAATTTTTCTTCGAGCTAGTGAATTATTACTATTATTATTATTATTATTGTTATTATTATTATTCTTACTATCTTTATTACAAGGGAAGCAAGATATAAATAATTTTAGAATTATGAGCTATGATAATTGTAAAAAATATTCAAAGCTCCTTGTCTCTCTGTACAATACATTTCATTCCGTAATAATCAACATAAAATAGAGCTAGTACATGTCCTAGACGATACAGTACAGAATCATACCATGTCTTAATCATGAGATACCACTACTTACATACTAACAAGAGACAACTTAATAATATCAACCAAACATAAACGTTTTAATCAAAATAACGAAGAAAAGGTTTGATTTACATAAGAGTTTCTGTAATTTAAGAGTTTGGTTTAACCGACTCGGTGCTCTTGAAGTCAATTTGAGCGTAAGCTACCCCAGTTACTTTATTGGATGTTGCAACAGCAGTTGCACATGAAACTGTTGCAAGACCCGTGGGTAAGCAAGATGATGGAGGTGGCGGAAGATGTTCAATGGAGGCGTAAGTGATTTGATTATCATCTTCCGGCTTTGCCAAGGGAGCACATCTTGAGGGGGACTGTGGAGTAATTGAACCGCTGGATGGTTTGCTATGTTCCTGCTTTTCGGGAGACTCTTCGATTACCATCATTCTGGTTAGGCCGCAAGTCGGCAAAGATATGACTAAATGATCTGAGCAACCAGAACATGGCGAACTTTTTGTGACAGGTGGATGGTTTTTATCATTATTCGGATGTGGGTTTTTGGAAGAAGACGTATGCAAATCTCCATTACAGAAATTCGACTTAAAAGTCCCCGTTCCAGCTTCAGGTTTGGTTAAATTTAAAGACGTCATTGACGGGGAGGTGAGATTTAAACAGAATTTTGTGGATGAAGGTGATATTGCATTTGAAACACACTCGTCAGATCGAATTGCCGTAGTGCTGGGAATTTTGTTTTTTGTTATAAAGTTATTTGCCGGGCCATCATTCTTTGAGGCGACGGGAGGCTTGGAAAAGTCCATGTTCAGATAAGCCCCTTCATCATCCAATTCTTTCAATTTCTTGAGATCAGTGCCGGTAAGTCGAGAGAGAATTGAAACCGATGCTTGGGAACTGCTGGCATCGTGGTATGCGTAGTTAGGGTCAGTAGTAGTATTACGACTCGTACTCGGGGCTTTAATAGATATGGGAGCTGAAATAGCGTAATTGCGACCCTTCGTAGAGTATTCGGCACTACCACCAGAATTTTGTTGAGATGATGACGACTTGAGAAGTTCCGAAGACTCGGAACCTTCAACTGCACCACTGTTGTTGGAGATGACCCCTTTTGGGACGGGACTAATTTTTTGTAAACTGGATGAGCCAGTGGAGCTAGGTGTCGAATTGAGGCTAGGAGGAGGGCCAGGATGTGAGCGTTTCCTGATTTTCTTATTCTTGGAGAAATCCAGCTCCATTAAATCCGAATCATTAGATTCACTCGTGCCTTGGGAGAATGCATATTGCGTAGGTGGTTGATTTGGGGAATAATGATGGTTATTGACAAATTTTGTCATAGGCCACCGTCCTGTTGATCCGCTCCACGAGCTACTAAGGGGACCAACTCCAGAGACAGCCGCTTTATTGCTCCCCACAGCAGGAATTAATCCCGCGTTTGATGAGGTATTTGGCAGGATTGGTGGTTTTCTTGGATTCTTGGATCCAACGGACATTGCTCTACATCGGAAAGTCTCTTGAACGGCCTCCAAACGGTTCTTCCCCGACCGGATTTTCCCAAGAGCTGACGTATCAGATCTTGAACCAACAGAATAGGCTCGGATAGGGCGCATGGAGTCCTCAAAGTCATCTGTTAAATAAGATGTGACTTTTTCTAATGGAAAGTCCGATGATGGGGTGTTGCTTTGTAATGATTCACTGCTGGCAGGTGAAACCCTTCTAACATCTGAAGAAGAAAAAAATCAAATATTTATAACATAATTCGCATCCATCAATGCAAGATAAATTTTTATATTCTCATAAGAAAGGCGTACCTTCATTGCTCAAATTAATTTTTCTGGTAAAATCCATGTCTAAATATGCGTCGTCAAGTCCTGTTGCAGACCCAGCCGTTGATCCAGCCCCAGATTCACTTCGGCTATAATAACATAATTTTGCAATAATTAAAACAAAATCAACTGTACAGTGTATGCCAAAGTAGTTAGTTTTTACCTATGAACACCACCAGGGATCATTGGTACATATCCATCATTGTCTTCGATTAGACTAGAATTTCTGCTGTGAGAAACTGAAATTTTTCCGTTCGACTTGAGGCCGTTGGGGATTGTACATGCTGGTGAAAGATTAAAATATATTATATGTCAATTACAATTGGCAACTTTTAAGGAATTTTTTTATATGCTCCTCAATCAATCGCTCACCTGGGCTCATGGGAATATAGTTGTCAAATGGTGACATTGGACTTTGCATCTCCATATAGCTGGATGGAGTTTGGGCATTGGAGCTTGCAGAATCTTTGCCTGATTCAACATAGTCGGAAATATCAGGAATCAAGGGAAGCTTCATGTTCATTAAATTTTTCGGACTAATAATGAGGTGCTGATCTTCCGTTGGGTTGAAGGGAACATACTCTTCCTCATCATTGCTTTTATCGCCCACCAATATGCTCCCTCCATGACTGTGGTTATTGTTGTCGTAATCAATCGAGTAGGAACTAGAGGCGGAGTCGCCAGTGGAGTACATATTTGGGCTGTTGAAGAGTATAGATGGCGTGGAGGTGTGGATTGGGACCGGGGGCGACATTTGCGACATTCCTATCCCCAAAACTCTTCCTGCCGACGAGGGCATGGAGTCTGTTCTGGTTCTGGGCTCATCGATGGAACTGCTCATGGCAGGGGTGGTGCTATGGGATGACCGCATGGTAGCATCATTTGTCCAAGTGTAAGTCCTAGAACACAAGCCCAATATTTAGCTTAAATTGTATTCATTTCCATTACAAATGTCTTTCTTTTGAAACTACTTGCTTACCTGGCACGTTCACGCGGAGGAATTATATCGTCCTTCGAGTAGTTTTGCATTGCTCTGAAATAGTGAAATAAAATTTAGATTAAGTGAATATGTATGTACTATAAACATTAGTTCATTTTGCAATAACATGTTATTGACAACCATGACCTATCTTTTTAAGGGTATATTCATAACACATTTACGATATTGCTACATTATCAATATTGCAACTGGGAAGACATTTTTTTAAACATCCAGCAAAAGGATAGATAAGTTATTAATTACGAGTTTAACACATCACGAATATGAAGCACACGGCGCCTGAAAATAGACGATGAAAAGGAGCCAGCTTTCTTTTGATGATTTCAAGGTTATCAATTCAGTGGCACCGAAAATCAAGACGGGTCATTAACATCACATTAACATGACAGCAGTTAGCATAGAAATTAGTAGTCGTAGCTGTATCCATGATCAGTTGTCAAATGCAGAGTTTATCCTTATCGTATCAGTTTAGTTGGAATTTCCAAGATCATCTTGTTGTATTAAGCCAAGCTTAATTTAGCAAATACGAAATCATAAAGTTTAATGCATTACAATAATTAAGTATGTCACTTTATTTTTAAAGATTCTCAATTATTTCTGATGTTATGGGCTCTTTATTTTTTCGTGCATGCGTATAACGATTCATTTGCAATTACTTTTCGTTAGTGGGTGGATTTAATGAACGCGAATGAAACCCAATTCCACAGAGTTTATTACCCTTTCCGACAACTTTGTACTTCAACACAATAACAATAATAGTGCTAAAACATGATCAGACACATGCAATCCTAAATGTGTTTTGCATCCCAGCCAAGTGGATCTTTTTACCTCCGCTTCTGTAGGTCCAGTATTGGAACGATATGCACATTATGCAAGCATGAAATATAATCATTACCATAAGAATCCCCTTCGGTGGAGAGGTCAACCTCACTTAATATGCATAAATACTATGTATCACATTTCCTCTCTGCAAATTGCTGACCCTGCTCTCATCTCGATGTGTATGCCAAAGACTTATTTAAGACTGGATAGAGCTACCAACTATGGATTTCTAACTCTCGAAAGTTTATGTAAAATAATACTTCCATCAATCTGTGTTTTCAGTCATACTTTCGGGTAAAAAAAACGAATAGTTTATGCAATGTTAAAAAATGACAAACCTGCAGAACTGTATATTTTACCCCTACGTGCAGCTACTTACATAGAACCAGGGAGCAAACTCGGAAGAAATTGTGCAATTGCAACCCCTTCAACGCCCCCTCATATTCCCAACTTCCCACCCACTTGACTGGAACAGACTGAATACATGTACACATTCAACCCAACGAATTCCATTGCATCCCACTCAAACTTCAAACAAATTAATCCATCGAGCATATTATTCGCATTCCGTCCTGGCAAAATTGGACCCAGAAATCCAATTGCCAGAAGACTTTCTCCAGAGCTGATCGTGCTTTACCTCAACATGGCCCACTTTCCTCGCAGCTCAACGAACTAACTGAATTTGCAAACAAATGTGACTTTGTGCCCAGACATCAATCAATTTGTCATCAATCATGACAACACATGTTTCGAAGTTGAGCTGGCTGCTCGATTCTGCTGCTGTTTTGAAGTTGGGAAAAGAAAGCAGAGCAAGTACGGAGCAGCAGAAGGCGAAGAAAGCAAGAGGCCCGAGTGGGCAGAAATAACTTTATTTTCTCTCGACGAGACAATGCATATAAATATTCTCATTTCTTTCTGCATGTCCAAATTCCGTGAATCCACGCCCCAACTACGTTTGAGAAGGCGGAATAAATAATTCCTCCAATTCCAGAAACGTTAGGTAACTAGCTTACATTTGCACGAATACAAGCTCCACCGTGGAAGAGACAGGGATGGGGAACACAGATCGATAAATGTCAAGGGTTATACACTGTCTGCGCTGTTGTTGGGGTAGTACGACTAGTTGGCTGACAATTATAAATCATAAATGACAATAAATTTGATGGATATATCTCAACCTTAGCTAACTCTTTGGTGAGAGGAACAGCGTGTCCTTATAAATTATGTTCCTTATAAAATAATAACAACAGCAAACTTTCACGGCCATATACCTCAGGCCTTAAACAACCTACGCACATTTGGCATTCAACATTTTTCATCCGTTTTCTGTCGAGCAGCCCGTTTACATACATGAAGTATAAATAACGCACAAAATATCTAAGATCTATGTACAAGCCTAATAACCTCGATTCCAGCCAAATACTTTAGGGTCCAATGTTTACCAGCTTTGTAGTAGCTCATTTACCGATGACTTCTCATCATCACCACAAGAAAAAAGACAACTAGGGCACAACTAAATGTCTCTTTTGTTTTCGTTCTCTTTTATCAGAGTTAGTGTTTCTGAATGTTATGTGATCTCATCACTTTTGTTATTCCACTTCACCTTTTGCATTTTCATTTCATCCCACTCTTCTCCACTGGGGATGAGCCAACCAGCTCGTCCAAGTTGGCCAAGTCAAACTCATCCTTCGCTTCTGCAGAGTTTTGAGGGTAAAGCGAATCAAAGAGCGAAAGAGAGTCAAATAAACATTGACGTCATCTCGCATGACATTGGGTTGCAAAACAACGCAATAAAGTGTTCACCAACTCCCTCGTTCGCTTATACACTACTCACATACTTACTACGACACTACTACTTACACAACACAGCCCAGCCAGCAGAGAGAAAAACAATCTAATTGGAATAATCCAACCAAATGCTAAAGCCAACGTCTCACATGTACTGTTACAACAGCACAAATGTATATATTATTTTTAGCGGACATTCTCCATCCTACCAAATATAGCCTACATACAAAATGATGTGCTTCATTCAGCCAAGTAATGTGACACGATTCGGTATCCAAAATTGAGCAAAATCCATGATTTATTTATTATGCCCACAGAGATGTTTCAACTCCAAAACGATGCCCACCACCCACACCAATTTAAGAAAAACGGAAACGTTGAATCGTATGCTTAAATGGGTCCCCGCTTTTAGTTCATGTAACAAATTGAAAATGCTGGACAGAAAATGATAGACGGTTTGTCTTTTTCCGGTTTTGTCAATTTATTCTACATGATGTATATTTGCAGTAATTAATGTCTTTCTAAACCTGTCCAACGTTTAGCAGATGATGTATGCAACTCATAACTTACTGGCTCTGTACTGTATACGGCGATATTCTTATATAAAACTCGACGAGAGAGCCTTGATTCGTAAGCTCATATGTTTGAAAATAAATTTGTTCAAGGAAAAATAAACATGGATGAGCTTAATCAGATAATTATAGTTTATCCCAACTTGAATCATCTTCTTTAGTGTTTGGGGAGGATTGGAAAATTACAGAGAGAAATACAAGAACTGCTTATTTTATTATTAAACGGAACTATTTTCTGCCTACTTAACTAATTCAGCATTGAGCATAATGTGTCAGGATTCATTCATCCACTAATATGTCAACAATATTCATAATTTTTGTAATTTACATGTCGCCTACGTGGGCATTCACCCCAGTTTCCCCAGAACTAACTCCAGTCTCCAGTGTATTAAAATATGCATTTGTCATATCAATTTCATTAGCTAAACAAACCTGCGCTTTGCAAGCAGAGGTAATAAAACTATATATGCATCAATATACATACATATGTGTTGTGCTTATGCGCTATTATTAAAAAGTAATAGTTTCCCGGAAACTTTGTTTGAGTTTGACGGTGCTGTTTTGCAAGTGATACAAAAAACAAGCACGTATAGGTATTTAAATAAGCCAATTTTATGGCTTGTGATGATAGGATACTAATGACAGCTTCATTATTATCCTCGTCGTTTCATGCAGAGCAAATCCGTGGAAATTCCATTGAATATTTTACCAGGGGTTCAAGGTAGATTTTTTGAAATATTATAACTTATCATAACATGATGATGCTGGAAAAGTGTTTCTTACTTGAGAATAACTAGATGCATATTTTGAGTGATGTTGTTGTCATCCGTTTTGAGACTCAGTTGTCCTGGACCGATACATGCTAGTCGACCAAGTTCTATATGGAAGAAACATCCGAGAGTGGCATCGTGAGACACATTGCGGATGACATTGAGCTGCAAACAATTAAAAACAAAAGAATTGGTAAAGAACGATCATAAATTATGCGCACCACATAACTCACCAACTTGAAGACATTCACGGATTTTAATAATGATATGGGACAGCGTGACATTTATGATTTTGTACACAAACATACCACTTTTACAACACAAACTGGTTTGTATACGGTTTTTGACAGGTATGTGTGCACATTGACCATTTATGTATGTGCTATTGTCACTCTCAAATTCAAATTGTCGGAAAGTTGTGATTGAATTTTGAAATGCTGTTTCTATGTAATGAAATGGACCTTTCTGTTCAAGTGTTGTTCTGACACAATTTTTTAAGAAACCAGAGAATAGTGGTATTTACAGACCTATGTAGAAACAAAAATTATCCCTATTCTGTATTATACCTGAAAATAAATCCCACCATTACACACCGTATTTTTTCCAGAGTTCTATCCATTCATAGACTTGATTTTTGAAAGGTTCATTAATTTCAAATTAATGAAATGCTGACCCAAACAACACAGAGATAATTGAACAGTTAGTGCAGTGGGGGAATTGATTATTCAATTGACAGTGCAATGTATGTGCATATGTAAATTTAGTTAATATTATAATCAGTCTCTGTCAGCTTGAGATTCAGTCAACCAACAAACTCTGTGCTTTTTATGAATGGAAGTCAATTCGGATACGAATTTTAGAGTCAGCCAATTGATTCATGCTTAATTAAAAAAGGAAGCTCGCTCCTTCCATTCATTTTCCCATTACTTAATTCCCCTATATAAATAAGTAAGTAGTAAACATGAATGGACTTTGGGAATCGCGCAGAGCGACAACTGCGGAGTGAGTGAATATGTCTTTATGTGTACAAAAGTTGGTGGAGTGGTTATTTAGTAAATTAACCATGACAAAAAAATAAGTACGGACTTACAGGAAATCTGACTTGACCATTGCGTCCATCATGTTCTCCAACTTTAAGCAAAGTCAGCTCTTTGGAGGTGAGACAGAGTCGGTAAGGTCCGATGATATTCTCCTTGCTGCCCAGCCCCTTATTGAGGACTTGGACCATCCAAATATGCTCAAAATGTGGTTTCCCCTCGACGACCTGGTCATCTTCTTCCTCTCCAGCCAAGGACTTCATGGCCCTCAGCCACTCGTTGGCCTCCTCCTCACTAATCATGGAGATTCGAACACAGTCGTTGTAGGTGTGGAGAGACACCGAGTACTTGGATTTGAGGTTTGACTCGGGTCCAATTATGTTGAAGCAAGCCTTCAACCCGATGCTCCTGTAAAAAAACATATTTATTTACATCGTTTGTTAATAATTTTGAACCTTTTTGTTAATTAGTTGACGTGCTGACATTGACAGAAATCAATTCAGTGAAATTTCAATCTTATCTCTGGACAAATCTGAGACACTTAAAACTTGTACATGAGCAGCAAAATGAGGATCATTAAACTATATGTATTTCTCTTTCATAATAATGTCCTTCATGATGAATACTAATTTTCGATATGTGCACAGTTATCATCACCGGATATACATATTTACGTATATACAATTACGCCGCACAAGACAAGTTGTGGAAATAATCTCTCATCTTTATTGGATTCATTACCCTCGGCCAGAAATGACCCTGAACTTCCACCTTGTGCAGAAAACTCAATTCATACTTGAGCTATTCCGCTAAAATTAATCATATACATACTCAAACTGAACCGATTGCAGTATTCTGCGCATGAAATTACATTTTCCACTATGAATTACTTTTTCCGAATGTGCGTACTAAAAATGTTCTGGTGGGACAGGTATCAACTTAGAACACTATGCCAATTTAAATACATCCACGGATAGAATTGAAAGGTTGAAGGAGCCAAAGCACGTGGCAATTTACGCATACGTATTTTTTATTGGGATGATAATATGCAAAAAAGTAGTTTTTACATAGAATTCTATTTTCCTTGATGTCAATTAATTTCGTACTACATGGTAGATACGTCCGTATAGGTTGCCTGTAAACCCATAAAATAAGTTATCCGCTCATTTTTATCCCGTTAGCCAAGTTGAAGGACATCGCATTTCGTTTAAACATTTCTTCGCAGTAATTTTTCCACGAATGAATTAAGGTTGCTGTTGTTTTCATGCAAACTCATAAAAACTGGAACTCCTCCTCCTGTTAAAAACCATTATCATTGGATGTGCAGATAGATGGATGGATATCTGTCTATGGTCGACCAACATGGACTTCATGTGTTATCGTAATTGAGAAATATTAAGGCGTTGCTTTAGTACATAAGACGAGAAGCTCGATATTATTGTGAGTTTTGTGGTGATGAATGTAAAAAGTCAATATTTTCCTCTGCTATTAATTATTTGCTGTGAATAGTAGGTTGGACAATTTCACAACACACTCGGCAGAGCACTGATGTGGATGATGATGGAGGAATTGCGACGAAGAGATTAAAACAGCATGATGATGATCACAAATATCATCACGACTATATGTACATACATACGAGCATCTCAAGGACGAGTTCTTACAAAACCCAACCTGTCAATCACTCGGTGATCATGAATACAAAATCATAATAATAATAACATCAATTTATTACAACAATGAACATATGTATGTATGTGGAAGAACCACATATATTCTGCTGCTATATAAACCTTATAAATAGCGCAATTCATTGAAAGTTCATTGAAAACTTGATTCGGCGACATTCACTTTTTTAAATGCCAACTTTCGGACATAACTATGATGATGTTACGTGTTGGATTTGCTAACTTGCTTCATTGAGTCTGATGCGGAAACGGATTGTTTATGATCGTAAATGTGTTTATGAGCGTACAATACTGCAAGCATCATGCAGCGGTAATGCAATCCGCATTTTATATTTGCCTTTCATTATCATTTATTTAAAGGTGAGCAACTGAAGGCGAATGAGGTCAAATTGTTTTCTTTCATTGTTTGCCACTACAATAATTTGTTCAAGCATACATGTGTACGCATCAGACAAAACCAATAATTCTCGTCCTATCACAAAAGCCTCAGAAGACAATCTTTCCAATAAATCCAATAATAACCCATTTTAATTTTCAATCTTGTTATCATTTTGATGGCACTTACATGTTCTCTTCTGCTATTTGTGGCACTACCACAAACCAACAGACCTGTTTTCAGTTTACACAGTCTAAATCTAACTTGGCTAATAACATCCTTGTTCACAATTTGTATTCGAACAATGTAGTGAACAGAAAATCAACGTTATGATAAAAGGAGAGCTGAGTTGCGATGAAAGTGCTTGAAAATAAATGACGCGCAAATAACTTTTTGTTCGCAGCAGTGAATTTTCAACTACTTGTTTACATTGTGCAAAAATGTGGTTGCAAAGCTGTTACATACGCAAACCAACCTACCAATGGAAAATTCAATCGCACCTCAGATATTACAGGTAGTAATAATAATGATAACTAATGCACCTTCGATTGAGTATTGTGAAAAATCAAGCGGCGGCGGCAGGCTGAGAAGGAACATAAACACCAGTGACTCTGTTACCAAACTCAAACGATAGATTCTTCGTTTGCAAAAATCTTAAATTTGATCATCTCCTGATTTATTCACCATTATAATGCCAACATAAAAACGGAATTGAAAAGCTAAGCAATGTCACCATGCACTATCACGGAGGAGAACAGACTACGTCGTCAGAGAATGACAGTACACAGAGGAAACACAGCTAAACACAAACTTATTTAGGAACCCTTGAACGCGAATTGGAAGAGATTCATTGTGCAAAAAATATGTTATCAGTTGTAATAAAAATAAATAGTGCTTTATGAAATAAATAAAAATGTGCATATAAATACCACGCCTAAAGTATTCTCTTTTTTTAGCCAAGAAGTATTCACACTCAGACATATGAAATCATTTCCGTAGCAAATTTGAGACAACAGCAACATTTACTTATAGACAAATTGAGTTTGCAAAAAGGTTGTCTTTTCGGATTCATACATATGCGACAGTGAGGCGACAGAAGACTTTTTGTTCGTGGTATCGTAGCCAAGTTTCAGTAGACTTTACAAGCCATTTATTACGTTTTTGTTTGCCTTCGTATCGTAACAGTCTGCTAAATAAATAAAATTGCCAACTCCTCACTAACATTTTACTTGGATGTCAATTCCATTAAATGGCGTAAAGATTCTTTTAATCGCTTCATTTTCATTGTGGCACTGCACAGACGATGGGATTCGATTATTTGAAAAAGCTTCTCTACCAAAATAAGTGCAACGTTGATGGGGTAGCCTACACCCAGTTTTCTATGCGCATGATGCTGTTATTGTTGAATGAAATTTATTGTAACAAGATTGATCCAATCTCAGCCAGTGTCTATTGCGCAGAATACAAGTTGGCATTAATGAGTCGCCGTACGTAATAACTGATCTTCGTGAAATACAAAAGAAGTCAGCACATGCAGGTATCGATAAGAATGCATCTTGAAATTCCATTCCAAACACCTTTACACCACTTCAGGGTTCCACCCAATTACAATATTTGAACTAAATCCGCATGCTCGCGCATAAAAATGTGTTACGTACAACTCACCATATACTTAGTAATCTTATATATGCACATAATAGCATTATATATTGAGCATTATATATCAAGGAGTAAATTAATTAGGTATACTAATCCTTTATTAAGGGTATTGTCATCTTATGCATTTTCTGCTCATTCGGAATGCAAACACTTCAATGTCACATATGTATGAATATTAAAAAAAATACGTACATCTGTACATTCATCCCCCGGAAGAATATGCTCATAACATCTTTGGGACTTTAAAATGAAAACGTCCTCATAGAATTAAACACATGTAGCATGCTTACTTTTGGGTTGAATTATTTTGGCGAATTTATATAGTTATCTTTGTTACGTGAATTGTAGTCGGTGAGAATTGTAATATACTCGGAACACTTATATAAATGAGGATATGCGGTACCGGCAAACATGGTCGTCACCCATGACGCAAGTGATGCTGTAGATGATTGGTGGTTAACTATTATGATGGAACTAAATACTACTACGACGAATGAATGGTGGTGGTGGTGGTGGTTACATATCACATGAAACATTGTTTGACGTAAACGAAAAAGCAACGGCAACTGGAGTTATGCAGATTGACAAACAAACACTTGAGATTTCGACTCCGGACCTGCATACCATCATCACTGCGACGGCATAAAATTAACAGAATTGGGAAGATGATGAGCATACCTTAATTTTAATAATAGCGCATTGATTTGACTATCGAATAGTTGAGATATTATAAAGTGGTTGGTTGTGGTACTGACAGCTTAAACAATTTCCAAGAAAATAGTGCTCTCTGAATATCCGTTGCGGCTGAACTCTGTTGTGTGACGATGATAAAGACAATCCTGCTCCAGTACAATAACAAATTTCAAGCTCATCATGAGACCTCCCACATAATGCACAAAGAGCTTACACCAGGCTACGCCATGCACAAGTGGATCTTTTTATGGATGCTTTACTAGTATTCCACATGCTTATTGCCTGGCGCTGGTGCCACTGGTTCACAAATTCCCAGATTTATTTTATTGCAAAGCCGACTCAATTCAATGTATGTATTTGTGTTCAAGTGGTTGAACTGGCGATGAAGTGACCCTGAACCTGTATGTGATACGTACAAACCATGCATACTCACCAACTAATCTGTAAACAAACCTCTCAGACGTTGCTTAGATAAACTACGGCAGCAGCAGGCGAGCCATTGCATACATATTTTAATTGTCCAACACCAGAAACAACAACGAAACTACGGAATGTATGTATGAACTCGCATTGCGCTCGTCGAATAAAATAGTCGCCTTGAATAAAAGGAGCAGGCAACGTTTCCTCTCATTGTTAATTAACGACAAAGATTTTCTGACAACTTCCGGTGTTTACTTGGCCCGTGCCAAAAGTATTTAAGTAAATACTACTGCTGCGGATTCGAGGCTGCAATGTAATCAGATAGTGATTTGATTTCACATACTTATGGGCCAGACCAGAAACTTTGTAGATTATTAAAGTCACATCAGAGTGTAGCCATTCTGTTTAGCTGCACACTGATATGTGTGTACGTAGGTATGTAATCACGCAAGTATTCTGCGGCATCGAACCTATTACTTTGATTTTCACCATACAATCTTTAAATAAACCCTTACAAACGAATATAAAAAAGTAGCGTCAGAACGATCGAAATTTACTTAAAAATGACGTTG